CTTGGGGTACTGAAATACTTCTTGGTCTTGAAATAGCCAGGTCTCATAATGGGATTTTCCTCTCTCAACGAAATTACACACTGCAACTTCTGGAAGATGCAGGTTTCCTAGGCTGTAAACTAGCTAACTTACCGATGAATCCGAAAGCTCGCCTTAATTCATTTGAAGGTGAATTAATTGATGATTCATCTCAGTACAGAAGATTAGTTGGACGCCTACTCTACTTGACTATATCTCGACCAGACATAACTTTTGCAGTTCACAAGCTCAGTCAATTTGTTTCCCAGCCTCGTCAGCCTCACCTTGATGCTGTCTATCATCTCTTAAGGTATCTTAAGGCTGCTCCAGGTCAAGGGTTATTATTATCTGCTTCTTCTTCCCTGCAACTTCGAGCTTTTGCGGATGCTGACTGGGGAGCTTGCTTAGATTCCAGAAAGTCGGTTACAGGCTTTTGTGTGTTCCTTGGGGACTCCTTGATCTCTTGGAAGGCAAAGAAGCAGCAAACATTGTCCAGATCATCTGCAGAAGCAGAATACCGGGCATTGGCTTCCACAGCAAGTGAAATTGCTTGGATCCATCAATTACTTCATGATTTCCAGATTTCTTCCCCAACTCCGGCACTAATATTTTGTGATAACCAAGCTGCAATTCACATAGCTAACAATCCTATCTTCCATGAAAGGACGAAACACATCGAGATTGATTGCCATTACATCCGTGATAAAGTTACTGAAGGCTCCATCAAACTTTTACCTGTCCGCACCCAGAATCAGTTAGCAGATGTTTTTACTAAAGCTTTACCTGCCAACTCTTTGTTTCCTCTACTATCCAAGATGGCCGTTACTGATCTGCATCGTCCACCTTGAAGGGGGGGTATTAGACTATTTAGCTTAGCTGGCAATTGATTGTAGTTCCGTTAGTTGGTTAGATGAAGTTAATTAGTTAAAGTTAGTTAGTTAACTGCATTTTAGTGAGCTGGCATATTCTGTTAATGAACCAAGCTGTATTTATATCTGGTTGTACGACATTTTCAGATGAATGAATCATTTCTTTCATTTCATAGCTTTCTTCTTCAATACTTATTTCTCCTTCTTCTCCCCTCCCCTCTCCTCTTCTCCTTCTTCTTCTACTGCTGCGTTTTCTTCTCTTCTTCTACTTTCTTCCGCGAGTTTAGTTCCCTACTAGAATACTTCAACTAATTCTACATCAAAGTGGTATCAGAGTCAAACTTGAAAAATATCTTACAATCACCGCATCAAATCACTGTTCAATCCCAGCCAACAATGACAAACATGTTTATTCTCCAAACCCAGTCATCACAAAAATTGCCTATAAACTAACCGATGAACCAACCCATAACCCATTAATCAGAAAATCTCAATCCCAAACACAGAAAATCGCCGACATCTTTGCACTGCCCAGCTTACTGTCGCTCATTTCTTTAACACCAACGGTCGACATCACCAACCACCTTCATCTGTCTCTGCCTCTACAAATAAAATCAACAGAGAGTTTACGTGAGACAGTGGATATTTAATTGGAATAATCCCCTTGAACAGGCTCAGGAACAGGACATGGATGCAAAAAATAGGTTGTTGTGGCATGGAACGATCCATGATTGGGTGTTATGTTTTTTATTTTTCAAAATTTTCAATCCCGAATTGACACGTGTCGGGCCTGTTTTTGAATTTGTTCTTATAGCATGGTTCTATTTAATTTCAGTTGGGCTTTGTCTATAGTTGGTATTTGGGCCTCGGTTTATGCATGTGTTTGTTGATGTAAAAAGGCATATTAAAAAAAGGAATATAACAAAAAATAAATAAATAAAAACCCAGAAGAGTGAAAAAAATAGAAAAGAAAACTAAAAATAATTAAAAATAATATATATATATATAAATTTTTTTTTCTTTTTGACATTATTTGCAAGTACCTTTTTTATTTTGATTGATTGACACAGCATCTCAATAAACAAAAGGAAAGTTACTGCATTTATTATCTTTCGTTTATAATCTTGTTAATTTTAAATGGCATCGATTAATTTTTTGTGTTGTTGTCATTATAATATATTATTTAAAATCACGTGATTGAATCCTTGACTTTTTAAACCCCCAACTTTTATCCTACTTATTTTATATGATTAGATTTTGGCTAGTAATTTTGATCATCGCATTATTATTTTACATATATCAGCAGTATTAACTTGTCATATTTGGATTTACTTAATTCCTAGACTTTTAATTTAAATGCTCAAGTTGTGATTTTTGTTACTTGCACTTGTTGTTCATTAATCTCTTTCCATTGCAGGTCATTTAACTGGTATTACATTATATGCAGTTACATAGTAATTGTCTCGTCACCTCTAGTTCTAGTACTTGACCATGGACCCATCCCTCGCATTGTTATTTTATATATATCAGTAGTATTTACTTGTCATGTTTGAATTTACTGAATTCCCAAACTTTTAATTTAAATGCTTAAGCTGTTATTTTTGTTACTTGCATTTGTTATTCATTGATCTCTCTTCATCGCACGTCATTTAACTGGTATTACATTGCATGCAGTTGTGTAGTAGTCGTCTCGTCACCTCTAGTTCTAGTACTTTGATCATGGATCCATCCTAATTTGATGCACTCACTAGACAATTAGCTCAACTTGTCATTAGCCAGCAGCAATTACGGACTCAATTAGCAGCTTTCTAAACCGAGATGGCTGCTGCTTATGAACAGCGTAGAGACCTAGCTGCTAGGTTGGACAATTTTGAACAAACACCTCATCTGCCTAACGCTGATAATTTCGAAACTTCCCATAATGTACACCATCATCATCGATAAGGTGGTCGATAATATATTCGACGTGATCGAAGGAATGGGGATCAAGGCCGTGAACAAGAATGAGGCCATGGCCATCACGATACTCATTCTCCTCCTCATCATGAAGAGCGTTATTTTAGAAACATTAAGTTAGATGGTCCTACTTTTGAAGGTTGCCTACATCCTAGAGTTTTTACTCAATGGATTAGAGATATGGATCATTTTATGACATGGTATGAAGTCCTAGAGGGTCAACGTGTCCAATTTTTGGAAAATATGATGTATATGACCTTTTTTTTTAATAAATGGGCGACACGTGCTCTTATAGCTTCACATGCTATTGTTCTCAGGTTTAAGGGAGGATACAATGTCATGGTAGTTTTGTGGCTTTATACATTTTATTTGGCAATAATACGAGTTATTGTAAGCACGTTGTGACGATTTAGTGTCGCAGATGATATTGTTTCTTTATTTGTAGAATACTTTGAGTTTGCGACCTTTGAAATTGGTAATTTGTGGCATCTTTTTGTGGACTTCGTGATTTCTATGACTTTCAATCTGTGACATTTGTGACCACTCCTTGCCCACCATGGTTATCCGCCAAAAGCGTCATAACAATCACACAACGCCATGAAGACTAGAAAATCACCTTCAAAATATTGGGATCAAATTCATTTTCACGCACAACTAATATGTCAGAACAAGATGATAGAATTTTAAGTAAAATCGCCAAAAAAACGAAAGCTAAAGCTACCAAAATATAGACACGACAAAAGAATTAAAAGAAGAAGTCTTAAGCCTATTTGCTGCAAGTTTAAGTACTTTTATGGTCCCAATTACAAGGTAATAAGAACACAAATCTAAATCTAAGTGGTACAAAACGAAGCTAATACTATAACTACTATAAATCAATTCTAAAAAATAAAATGAAAAATCATCAAATTTTGGATCTCAACAAATTATTTGCAAAAGGATAAAAAACGCCAATAAAAAATTGGCACAAAAAGAGGAGCAGAAAATAAATGTGAAAATATTTAAACCAGTAAACCACATATAAATTTTGACCGTTACTTTTATTGGATCTCCAACTACATTTAATTGATTAATGCAATCCTCAAGATTGAACTGCAATCTAGAGCAGACTATATGTATAGGAGGGATCACAGAACCCCTCCAAATAAGGCACAACATAGGGTATTTTTTTAAATAAAATATTTACATGGGGCCCACCCCCCATGTGAGAGTTCTATAAGCCTTTTATGAAAGCTATTTTTGTACATAGGAATTAATGTTGCAGTCTGAACCCAATTTGGATTTGTAGTCAGTAATTTGATTTCCGCTATAAAAATCCGTTGCTTCATAGATGAATATAAGCCTATTTCCATCAAATCTGTATCTCTATCACTAAGCCCCTATTGTCATCAGAATTGGTTCTATCCATCGATTCAAGGCTAGGAAAGCTGGCATCAGAATTTAAGACAACAGCCCCACTACCTGACAGGGGCTTGAGATAGGGAAATCCTTTGTCCAGCTACCTGTTTGTATTATGTTTAGAAAAATTATTTGTTTCATCTAACTTTCCCTCTTATCCTGTCGAGATAAGAGATTTGAAGGTCGATAAGGAGTTGGTAAGGCATTGACTTGAGTTCTCCTCCACCGTTATAATGAGAAATTTAAGTAAAATATACTTTGGAATAGTAATTGTTGGGAGAATGTATGGTTAAAAAAGAAGCAAATTTTTTATTTATTAATGTGTGATATTATTTGATTTAAGAATGTGATTGAAAATAAAAGAGAGAAAAATGTATTAAAATATTAAAAAGAGAATCAAACAACAGCTAAATATGCATGTACATAGAGAAAGAAAGAACTCTATTTATGTAATAATTGAAAAAGGAAATAGGCTATTCTTTATAAAGATTTCATTTTATCAATATCATATATATATATATATATATTTAATTTTATAAAAGCTAATTTTTGGGGGAAAAAAAATTAGTGCCTTTTTAATGAATTTGAAACTTGAAAAACATAATTTTCTCGTTAGAAATTCCTTTTCCGAACAAGCCACACCCTGTTAAACCTGTTGGGGCAGTTCGATGAAGCCCATATAATACTGGGCCGAACCAACTATGGTCTTGTGCGAAACACGCGTGCAATAAACAAGCACCTGGGGCGTACTACGCACCCTGTAAACATTAGACGCTACTTCCCCCTGTCGTCTCTCTCTGCTCCCGAAAATCTCCACTCTCGAATCTGAGTTCAGAGCCTCATCCCGAGTAGTCAAAATTCAAGACGAAAATGCTCGGCCGTCTCGCCGCCCAACGCTTCCGTGAGATCCGTCAAGCCTTCTGCCAAATTCCCCAGGTCCTCCTCTATTTTTATCGCTTTTGATTTTTACCGACTTCTATAAAATTAATTTTGTTGTATTATATTATACAGGCTTCGAGATCATTTTCAACAGCTCTTAACTACGTAAGTTGATAGTATTTGTAGTTTGCATTGTTTGGTAATTTTTCAAAGCCGATGAGGAATTTTTACGTTCTATTTTTTTAATGCAGCACCTTGATTCTCCCGATAATAATCCAGACCTTCCATGGGAATTTACTGATGCGAACAAAGAAAAGGTTCGTGGTTCTTTTATTGAGATTATCGAACAGCTTCAAGTTTCCTTATAATGATAACTATTTTCATCAATAGGCGTCATTTTCTGTGATAATCTATTATTCATTTCCAGACTCTAAGTACGTGCGATAACATCTCATTGGTGAACTGCTTGTTAAACTTGGTTTTTTGAGTGTTTGGATCCCAACTTGTTGACCTGGGCATTATTGTGTGTTTGTGTATAGTTTGTTGTTAGATTCAGATTTGGACTCACACGAAATTTTCAATTAAACAACATGTTAAATATTTCATGTACTATAAGGATTAAGTGCCCTCAGCTTTTATATAGATTTCTTTTAACTGATTGGATATAATTGAAGATCTTTGCAGAGTTGACACTTTTGATTTTTTATTTTTTTTTTTCCGTCGTTGTAAGTTTTATTTATACTGAGGCTACGTCTCCTAACCCCGCCCCTCCTCTTAGATGATTATGTTAGTCATCAGGATAGCTCATTTCTCAACAAACGATTTTTTGATTCCTAGTTTGGTTTTCGCCTATTGGAAATAATCAGTGCCAAGCTTTCAAGGTTGCTTAGCCTAAACTTGTCCCACCTTTTAGTTAATATGCTCTGCAACCATATGCGAACATTTTCCCATCATGCATCTAATATTATATTAATGGCTCGTGCTCTCTGAAGCTGCATGAACAGGCAGGCATACGTAGTACCTGTTATGTCTGCTCTCTGCTATTTGCAAATGTGCCAAATGGTTTTACTTCTAATTTTTAAATTATTCAAGCGCATTAGTTGAGAAGTTTGTTCCTATTAATTGAAAAATATGTTTATACAGCCTACGGATAGTAAACTAATTATTGTACAGATGATTAATTGTGAATTGATGATTTGGAAGGCGTTCAGTTTTCCAAATTTTTCAGGCACACTGGTTGAGAAGTTTGTTCCTGTCAAATGAAAAATATTATTATACAGGCTACGGATAGTTGTAGAGACCAGTACTTGTAAATGGATGATTTGGAAGGCATTCAGTATTGGTCGAATTCTCTTACTGTTAAATGTGTAAAAATACGTAGTCCTTGGTTTTTTCTCAACTCTAAAATAAATTTCAGTATCTGAATGTTTAGAATGCATCACTTTTCTGAGACAACACAAAATATGAAGCATGTCATAACATGAGGCAGACAGAATTGAATCCTCTAGGCCTTGAGCGTGAACTTGGAATTTGGTCTCTGTTACAATAAATTATTTATGAACTGTTGGTATACAATACAGGTTGACAGTTCAAAATGGAACTTTGCAATATGAGGTGGAAATTTTTTTATAAAACTAATGGTAAGAATTAGATTGTGAACTTTGAAAATGCATTTCCTTCTTGTTTAGTACCAAAAGTAATTGTCACCAGATGTAATCTGGATTGTTAATTCCGAAAGCAATCTACCAAATAACCTTCGTAATTCTCAATGTCTCCTCATCACAATTTTCTACCAAATTTTGATGTCAAAGTGTGAACTTCGAAAGCAGGTAAGTATGTACGTTTAGATAAAAGACAACCTTATTTTGAATCTATGCATGACTCAAAAAGAGATTTTTTTTTAATTATGTGGAAGCAGATATACTGTACTGGATTTTTTTTGAAATTTTGCATGCTAAAAATCATTAATTTTGGTGTTGCACAGGTTAAAGAAATTATATCTCACTATCCATCCAACTACAAACAATCTGCCGTCATTCCATTACTGGATCTTGCACAACAGCAACATGGAGGGTGGCTCCCTGTTTCAGCAATGAATGCTGTAAGCTGACATCCCTATTCTTTTCTTTTCCTTCATTTGGTACATTCATGTCTGAAGATAGCATTTTTAGGTCATCCACGTGAAACTTTGAATAATATTGACACATAATCAACATTCAATTAGCATTTGAGTTCTAAAACTAGTCTACTTTTGTTTGTAAGGAAGTGCTCTTTATTTTGACTGAAAACATGATGACATTTATTGTAACCAGCAGCAGACCTGTGCAATGAAATATCTTTACATACTAGACATTAATTATGTCAAAATTCTGCTTCTGAATAATATTAAGAAACCAAACCTTATTAACCTGCCTTAGGGAAAAATACTTTTGAGCAATTCAAGCTAGAAAATTACAAAACTTTATTCTAAATTTAGTAATTTAATGTGGAGAATGACACTGTCATATATCTTGAACTCCATGCAAAAGAAAAGCATCTTATCTAGGAAAAGCTTTTATCCTCTTAAAAGAGAATAAATTAGATTATGTAAAGCATAACTGTGTGGGACAATTTTCTCTTATTTATGTCTATGTTGGACTGTTACGCAATTTCCACTGAATCCATTTATTTTTTTACTCTGTATTGGGTATTATTTGGTGCCTGTTAAATGATTGCCATGAACCCTCAATTTCTAATTTATTTTGCACGCACATCTTCACTAAGCTGAAATTTTCTATCAATTTTTCTTCAACTGAAAGTACTAGAGGGAGGGAGGAGCCGAGGAGGTATAAAGGGAGACCTAGGTTTGAGAAATCAATTTCAAAGAGGGAGAATTTATAGATAGTTCTGGTAGCTCTTATCAAATTTAGAATAGGTAAATGAAGATAGGGGCATTTCTCCTCTTCACTAAACGCAAGTAGGATTGCTATTTGCATGTGGGATATTCTATTTGTGACTTTTAGTTTTTGATAAGATGTATGCTTTGCAGATTGTAATACCATAATTTTTGCATACTGTTATATGCTATACGGGCAGTATGTAATTAGCATTATACTTGTTTTGCAGTGGTGTTATATTCATGAGATTTTTGTGCATCTCAAGAATATTTGTATGCTTATTTAAGTGTGTTTCAGAGGATTTTTTGAAAGCCCAAAGCTACATGGGGAGCAAAACCTCCCTTTTTACAAATAACTGGTGTTTGTTGCATATAAAGAAGTGCTCATTGACCAAAAAGCAGTTTTTATAAGCTGAGAGAAGCTAGTGCATGTTTGGCAAAGCTTAATTTTTCATAAGCTAGTCAAACATACTTTTATCCACACATTTTGTAAGACACACAACTTACTACCCATCTATTATCCACGTATGCCGTAGTACCCGAAACTTATAAGCACTTAAAAGCTTTGCCAAACATGCTCTTAAGCTTCTCCAAAAAGCTCTACATTCAGCTTATATGAGAAGCTGAAATTACTTATTTAATGAAACTTCTACATTTGCAATGTTATCCTAATTATTTTAATAAAATGTCAAATATATATCTAAATTAAATATAAAATTTGTGAATTTTAATAAGCAATGAATTTAGGAAATAATTACATGGACATTAATGAATTTTCACCTATATAATTACCACCTAATTTCTGAAAAGTTAAACTTATTCCCTTAAATTTGCACAAGACATACTAATGTCTGAATTGTGATTTTTTCCAATTTATCAAGCTCCCAAATAGTCCATAATACTAACCCATACGGCCCCACGCCACATATAAAGCCACACCAATCTGGGATGCAAACCCAGATCACACCAAATCCAGCCACCATTCAGGCAAATGCGCCTGATCGGAGCACAGTGCAGGCGATTCCGATGCCGGAGGTAGGTTGGGGAGGAGCACGCGCCGGCGCCGAAGAACCAGAATGTCAGGCAGAATGTCCCCAATCCAGTAACGATGCCTGTTTTGCCGTCTAATATGCTGTTCACACACAATCAGGGAAGGAAGTTTGTGGATGAATTCGATGTGGCCTTCAATCATCGTTTTCGAGTTGAGGCGAAGGAGTTTGCAATTTCTGTTACCAATCTTGGTGCTGTTAGACTGACCGAATGGGGCTCGAAGATATCGAATGCAATTAGCATGGGAAGGTTTGGTACACTTTGGATGGTGAATATGGTGGACAAGTTGAGGGTGACTAGTAAGCACGAGGAATTCATTTCTAGGTTCAATGAGTCATCAAGAACCTTCTTGGCACAGCGTCGTGCGAACAGTCGTGGTAGGTACTTGATGATAGCACAGTATGGGGATAGGCGTAGGAAAGGAGTTGTGATGGTGCCGGAAGGCGCGAATGGAGAAGGATGGGCATCAATCTCGCGGGTATTTCAAACTGTTGTTGATTCTTTTTTTGTTGGGGATAAGGCCAAACGTCGACCGGTGAATGAACGTAATCGACAAAGATTGACTTATGCAGACGTAACAGCAAACTTACATACCTCGAAGCATGCTGACCAGCGGATGCAACAGCAAAAGGAGATGACTGTCAATGTCAGTGTAAACGAAGGTCAGGATTGTTGTTTGAATAGGGCTGAAATTATGGCCTGTGTCCAGGAATTGAAAGGAGCGTTGGAGGAATTGATTAGGCTAGTGGGAAGTGGGTATGAAATGGGTCCCAAGAAGTTATTATGTTGTCACAAGTGTGGGGTAGGTATGGATGAGTATCCAGCTGTTGGAAAACAAGCATCGGGATTGAATAAGAAGGAATCGGCACATAATCAAGTAAAGCAGAGAAGACTCGAAATCACTTGCGAGTCTATTGATCGGATTGAAACGGACGAGGGACAATCCAAATATGACAAAGGTGATGTCTTAGAGGGGTTGGATATGGTTGAGGTCGACGCGGGGACCGATGTAGACCGAGAGGTGGTACCTTTGTCTAAAGAAGGGGAGCTGAGTATGGTGAACTTGGAGACAGTAACGATGAGTGCAATGGACACAGTCCTACACGATGATGGGCTTTTACTAGGTGACCAAGGGACGAGGCATGTACTGTCAGAGGTGATAGAGCACGACGCGACACCTTTGACAATAAGCGTTGCAAACACATATAATAGAAGGAACTCTAAGTTAATGAAGGTAAGTGACTTGGGGACGGAAAAAACACTGGTGTTGTGGGTAGATGGAGCCAAGAAAGGAGAAATAGAAAGTGATGTTATACAGGTGGAGTAAACAGGGGAATTGTTTGGATTCGAAGCTGGACACCCACCTTCGAACTGGGTTCTACAGAAAATTCAGGATTTCAGTAAGTTAATGGGCGTGTCTTGTGATGGATAGAAAATAGATTACTACAATTGTTTGAGGATTTGGAGGCCAATAGGGGACAGAAGATGAGTAAACAAGAAGGTAAATTAAGAAGAAAGGGCGATCGTGAACTTAAGAGGCTCGAATGGTCAGTTAATTATGATAGCAAGGGTGGTGAATTCAAGAATGGAGTACTGGGGAGGGATGCTGGACTGTTGAAATGATACCACAAATCATTAGCTAGAATGTAAGGGGACTTAATGAAGTTGGGAAAAGGATGGGTGTTCGACATCTGCTAAGGGGCTGGGAGCGAATCTTGTATGCTTACAAGAAACCAAGATAGAGGTCATCTCGAGGGCAGTGGTTAGTAGCTTATGGGAGGGGACAGCATGTAGGGTATCAGTTTATGGGATCATCAGGGTTTCTGGAGGCATATTAGTCATGTGGGACACCAGAGTGCTTGAGATGGAGGAGGTGAGTGTTGGATTGTTCTCAATTTTGATGTCGTTCAGAAACATTGGGGATGGATTTAAGTGGATGTTCATAGGTGTTTATGGGCCTAATACTGATGACAGTAGACGGGGCTTGTGGGATGAACTGGTTGGAATGATGGCTTGGTGGAATCTACCAACGTGTATAGGAGGTGACTTTAATGTGGTTCGATTTCCTATTGAGAGGTCGAACGGTGGGAGACTCACGGGGGCTATGGAGGATTTTTCAGACTTTATAAGGGAAAATATGTTGATGGATTTGCCTATGATTGGAGGAGATTTTACCTGATCATCCAATTGGGATCAACCTGTTCTTTCTTGTATTGACAGATTCTTGATATGCAGCGAGTGGGAGGCTAAGTATTCAGAGAAGATTGGGGAGGGTGTACTCTGATCATTTCCCCATTATGTTAACTGGGAACAGGACAGGTGGAGGATGAAGGCCTTTTAGGTTCGAGAAAATGTGGTTGAAAGTTGAAGGTTTTAGGGAGCAAGTACAGACTTGGTGGACATCTTACGATGTCAGGGGGTCTCCTAGTTTTGTGTTGGATCAGAAGTTGAAATCTTTGAAAAGAGATTTAAAGAAATGGAATGAGGAGGTTGTGGGCAATGTGAACTGTCGTAAAATTCAATGTCTTTCCGAGATTGATGAGTTGGATAGGTGGTAGGAGAGTCGAAGGTTGGCTGGGGAGGAGAAGGAGAAACGTAGAGCATTAAGGGAAGAATTGGAGAGGTTGGTGGAAATGGAGGAGATTGCTTGGCGTTAGAAATCTAGGGTCAATTGGTTGAAAGGAGGAGATAAATGTACTAAATTTTTTCACAGGATCGCTAATTCTAATAGGCGCAAAAACTCGATCACTGTGTTGGAAGTGGATGGGATAACTTATGAAGAACCACTCGAAATTGGAAGCCAATTGGTGAATTTCTATCAGAATCTATATCAGGAGCAGTTTGAGTGGAGGCCAGAGTTGGAAGGATTGGATTTTTCTACTATCACGGAGGATGATGCCGGGTGGTTAGAGCGACCTTTTGAGGAGGATGAAATCAAGGAGGTAGTGTTTAGCATGAACGATGATAAGGCCCTTGGACCGGACGGTTTCTCGTTTTCATTTTACAAGGCTTGTTGGGAGGTGGTGCGATCGGAAATTTTGGATGTGTTTACATATTTTTTTGAATGTGGCAGGTTCCAGAAAAGTTCTAATGCTACATTTGTTGTGCCGATCCCTAAGAAATCGGGAGCGACCGACATTAAGGACTTTCGCCCTATTAGCGGCAGGTTCCAGAAAAGTTCTAATGCTACATTTGTTGTGCCGATCCCTAAGAAACCGGGAGCGACCGACATTAAGGACTTTCGCCCTATTAGCCTAATCTGTGGGGTGTATAAGATTATTGTGAAAGTCCTGGCGAACAGATTAAAGGAGGTGCTCGGGAAAGTAGTGTCCAAGTTTCAGAATGCTTTCGTAAAAGGTCGTCAGATCTTGGACTCTGTGCTTATAGCGAATGAATGCATTGATTCAAGATTGCGATTGGGAATTCCCGGGATGCTATGTAAGCTCGATATTCAGAAGGCATATGATCATGTGAACTGGGGGTTCCTTTTATATATGCTTAGGAGGTGCGGCTTCGGGGATAAGTGGTGTAAATGGATTCAGTTATGTATTTCTACTGTTTCGTTCTCAGTTATGGTCAACGGAACGCCGGAGGGTTATTTTCGGAGTAGTAGAGGATTGCGGCAAGGAGATCCACTATCCCCATTGCTTTTTGTTATTGTGATGGAGGCTTTCAGTATGATGTTTGAAAGAGCTGTGGGAGAGGATTTGGTAAGGGGCTTTAGGGTTGGCCAATTGCAGGTGTCTCATTTGCTATTTGCAGATGACACGTTGATCTTATGTGATGCGGATGATGAACAATTCAGGAACCTGCGTCGTTTGCTCCTATGTTTTGAAGCGGTGTCTGGATTAAAAATCAATTTGGGGAAATCTGAGGTTATTCCAGTTGGGGAGGTCACTAACGTGGAGGAGTTGGCTGGCATATTGGGATGTAGGATTGCACAATTGCCCATATTATATTTAGGCCTTCTGCTAGTGGCACAGTTTAAAAGTACACATATCTGGAATGGCATTATGGAAAGAATGGAGAGGAGGTTAGCAGGGTGGAAGCGTATGTATCTTTCTAAGGGAGGTCGACTTACCCTTATTAAAACCACTCTCTCAAATCTCCCCACTTACTTTTTGTCATTGTTTCCTTTTCCGGTTGCAGTGGCAAATAGATTAGAGAGATTGCAAAGAGAATTCTTGTGGGCAGGGTTAGGGGAGGAGAGGAAAATGCATTTGGTTAATTGGAGTACTATTTGTTTGCCTATGAGGATGGGAGGGTTTGGAGTGAGGAGCCTTGTTTTGTTTAATAAGGCTTTATTGGGCAAGTGGTTGTGGCGATTTGGAGTGGAGAGGGAGAGCTTTTGGAGAGAAATCATTGGGGCAAAGTATGGTGTGATGGAGGGGGGTTGGTGTACAGTTGAGGGTCATGGCTCCTATGGGGTGAGTTTGTGGAGGTATATCTGACGGGGATGGAGTGATTTTAGGGATGAACTAAATTTTGTGCTGGGAAATGGCACTGATATTAGATTTTGGGATGATAGTTGGTGTGGCGATCAACCGTTAAAGGAGGAATTTTCCTCATTGTACCGCATTGTGTTAGAGCCTGCTGCTATAGTGGGTGATGTACTTGACATCCATAATGGGGGCTATAGTTGGAATATTACTTTTGGGAGGGGTTTACAGAATTGGAAATTGGAAGATTATTCGAAGTTTTTGACCGCTCTGCATGAGATACAAATTCGGGTAGGAGAGGGTGATTGTAGCAGGTGGAGGTTAGCTCGAGATGGTATTTTTTCAGTCCGCTCATACTTTCAATCCCTTTTGGGATTTGTGGAGAGTTCATTACTTTGGAAGATGGTGTGGCAAAGTAAATTGTCTCCACAGGTAGCATTTCTATTGTGGACAGTTATGAGGGGGCAGGTGTCAATGGTGGATAATTTTCGACGAAAAGGATTTTATGTAACCGAGTGGTGCTATATGTGCAAGAAGGATGGAGAGACGATTGATCATTTATTCATTCATTGTGATGGTGTACGTTGGCTTTGGAACAATATTTTACCTTCTCAATCAATGGATTGGGTGCTACCTAGGCGTATAGAAGACGTGGTGCGGGCATGGAGAAGAAAACTTCGTGATAAGGATAGCAAACTTCTCTGAAATCTTATCTCGAGATGCATATGGAGAGAATGGAACGATCGATGTTTCGAAAACCAAACAAAGACAACAGAGCAGATAAGAGAATTATTTTACTTGACTTTGTATATTTGGTTTAATGCAGTGACTAAAAATCCTGTTGTAGGGTTGCCTAATTTCTTGTTGTTCCTTTCATGTTTAAAGTGATTGTATACCTCCTGTGTACTCTCTTTTAAGGAATAAAATTCTCTGATTACCTATTAAAAAAAAAAAACGGTATTCATAAATTTGAATATACATGAATTTGATAACTCAAAGGATTATGAATCTGTTGATACAGTTGGAAACTCTTTAAAATAATTTTTCAAAAAAAAGTTCTAAGAAAATATTAACAAAATTTAAAAACCTCTCTCTCTCACTCTCTTCCACTAACATGCGCGTACACATTTCTCACGGTACTCTTTGTAATCAATTAAATTCACATCAACCACAGTAAAGGTGGATTTAAACTTTTATTTCGACACATTCTATATTATTCTTACCCGATTTTCATTGGCTTTCCTTCTTATATGAAAGTGACAAATATATGCTGTGTTAAATAATATGACAATATAGTTAAATAATTATGTCATGAAAATTTAATTAAAATTTAATTTCTTAATATGTTTTACGATATGAAACAAATATTTTATAAAACAAATGATGAGAAGTATAATCCATTAATCATTTTCTGTTAAATTATTATGAAGTATGTACAATCAGAAATCAAAAGCACTTGTGCTGCAAAACAATCAATTTAATGTTCACAATACTTTAACTTGACAACCAAAGAAAAAGCTCTCCCAAAAAAAAACCTAGATTCAAAATCTCTTCCCACAACAACTATACAAAACAGACCATATGAGGCTTATAGGAACCATTAAAATGAACTATATTCCCTTAAATATTTTTTAGGACAAATAGACTTAATCTTAGCTCATTACTATCCTGCTAAAATAGTATAAGCTATTGAGGCAGATTTCCCCATGACCGCTCAATTTTTGTAGTCTTATTATAATTAGTTTCTGTTAACATTTAAATGTGATAAAAAATGTCGTGTTAAATGTTAATCCAATGATTTTTGAAAAGTGGTGCCATATCTGTTGCTTCTGTGCGGTGTTATGATGAATGAAATCAAATACTTTACATGTGATTATACGCTCACGAAATTTACCCTGTTGTAATGAAGGTTGCTAAGATTATTGAAGTTGCTCCTATTCGTGTTTATGAGGTTGCAACATTCTATTCGATGTTTAATCGAACAAAGGTAAGATATTCTATGTCAACATGCTGGACGTTGCATGGGCAAATCCTTGTTACATGAGCTTTAGCTTACATGTTGAACTGCTGTCTTGCAATTCAGGTTGGCAAATACCACCTTCTGGTATGTGGTACAACACCTTGCATGATACGTGGTTCTAGAGAAATTGAAGATGCATTGCTGGAACACCTTGGAGTAAAGCGCAATGGTCAGTCCTTTATGACACAATCTTTCTGGCATCTTCCATGATCTTTTATGTTTGGGAATTGGATGATCCTCATAACTGTTCTTTGCAATTGGATTTTCCATTCATATTTGCAGAAGTAACTAAGGATGGCTTGTTTTCTGTTGGAGAAATGGAATGCATGGTGAGTCTTAACAGCCTCATTTCTTGACCAGATCCAATATTTTTCTGGTTGCCTTCTTATGTTCTAGACTTTTCTATGAATTGGGTCGGCTATTGATGCACATGTTTTTTACTTTTTGTCTGGTAATGCTTAGCGACAGCTATTGTGTTCTCTCCCATGTGGCTTACTCGTCCTAGATAAATAATAGAATCACTAGGATTGAAACTGAGCCTTGTTAGAACGAAGGTAGAGCGGAGCATGATATGGCACGTGAAGAAAGCAGCGTAGCTGATCCTAACTTTCCATTTTCTTTTCTGTCTTTCATAAGAGATTGGAATTCTGTTCATCTAAGTGCCATCCGTCATGGAAACCAAAATTTCTGTCTCTAAAAGTTCTTTGAGATGTTATATGCAGCTCTAAGAAAGGTGTGGCCAAACCATTGCAATCAAAGACATAATAAGCTGCTTAAAAATATGTGACAATATTTTCATGGCTACTTGGTGTCAATTAGTATCACGGTAAAGCCGGAAGTGATCTTAGAAACCAATCACGTTCTGGTAAAAAATCTCAATATCGTATTTGTTTCAAATTCGGAAGAAATATTAGAATTCAAAATATAAAATAGAGAAGCGTGACAAAAAGTATGCGAATTTAAGCACTCTGGAATAATTGAATTTGCCAGCAGTGTGAAAGGAATAGCCTTAAGTCTTGAGAATGAGTGGTCTGTGGCACTATAGATGCAGGTTGAGATGTGCATTTCTTGGAGTCTGGGAGTCTCGTATCTGTTTCTTTCAGAGACTGTGTGGTTACTGTTTACTTTCACATGGTCAGGATTTATATACTAGGTTATTATGTGTGGTAGTGATTTCCAGAAGTCATGTTTATATAATCTATGACATGATTTCATGTTGGATTTCAATAGGGATCTTGTGTAAATGCTCCTATGATTACGGTGGCGGACTATTCCAATGGATCTGAAGGATACACCTACAATTATTATGTAAGTACATGTTATGCATAGTTTTTTGGTGGTCAAGCATGTCTACATTGACGTCGGATTTAATCTTTTACATCAAATTATTCGAAAATTTTGAACTTGATTCTTTCTCCACTATTTCAGGAAGACGTCACTCCAAAGCGAGTTGTAGAAATTGTCGAGGCTTTGAGAAGAGGAGAAAAGCCTCCGGTAATGCAACGAGATCAGCATGTTGAGTCTGTTATTAAAGTTAAAATTTGTTATTTGATTTTAATGAACTTCATATTTCAGCGTGGCACACAAAACCCAAAACGCATCAATTCTGGACCAGAAGGTGGGAACACAACACTGTTAAGCGAGCCTAAACCTCCTCCATGCCGGGATCTTGATGCCTGCTGAACTTGTTAACTTCTTTTGCAATTGTTCTCTCTAATAATGATGAAAAATCCGACTTGGTTGTAAGCTGCCAATTACTTGTATTAAGTTTCAAGATCGTTTGTTTTGTTGGGGTTTTCCAGTTAATATGATTCAGGTCGATTGCTTCTTCTTGTGACATTTGCTCGAGAGTGGGGAGGTATTCATTTTGTATATGCTATAGCCAATGAGCACACAAACACCTTCGCTTGCACTTGCAAATTCTTGAGAATAAATTTGCGGCCTCTCGTATGATAATAGATTCCTATACTCCCAATCATTTAATGGGCTTATATCAAATTGTTGATTTTGTTCGCAACTCTGAACAGCCTTCTCACAGCTGTCAAGGTTCCCCTCACAAACCTCCCAGCACGGCCGCTCCAAAATTCCCCTTTAAGGAGAGGCTTACATGCTGCTTCTACCTCTCCCCTCGCCCCCCGTCTCTGGAAACTTTTAAAAGGCGGTGAAAGGATTAAATTATATGTTTTAAATATTTATTTTGCAAACTTTAGTAAATGATTCGTCACGCTTGCGCGTAATTTTGGTCCCAATTAAATCAACTGTTCCTGGCGTCCAGAATTTTTTTTTTTTTTTTTCATAATAATCACTCGAGTTTCTATAGTTAATTTTTCCATAATAATCATTCAAATTTATACATTTAATCTTAATGATCACTAGATTATTTGGAAGGAAACGTATTACATTTATTTGCTAAATATAGACTCCCAACAGCCATTCCAGCTAATCGATAACAATCAAACGAAAGATAATCTTCCCTGTTTAAATAATAATTTAATCCAAGAAAAGTAACTAGAGACCAATAACTTGAAGGAAGGCAACAGCAGCATGTGAAGGAATAGTGCACTAGAGCACTTATTATTCTCTGCAACAATTCAACGCCTTCCAGATGCCACCGACTCAGTTGAGAAGAGGTACTTCACTCGCGAAAGAACAGAGTCATGTGCAGGATCATACGGATGGTCCTTGGACGGGATTTCCAGAATTGCCGGAATAGGTTTGTTGTAACTATCCACTAAAAACCTTATCATGTTTGCAACCTGAAATCAACAGAATCGATTCAACCTTTTAAGCAAACATATGATAAGTGGTACTGTATTAAAGTTAGAGGTACCTATGACATTATCACTTATTAAATCCCTCACACTTCAGACAAGTTCGGTAAGTGGAACAAGCTATAAGGGAAGTTTAGTACACCGAATTACGCTCTTTGTAGGATATATCCTGACACAGCATTTGGTGTTGAATGTAAAAAAATTACTTAGAAAGTACACCATTCACTTGTAACTAAAAAAAATTATGCATTAGCAAAAAATTCTCAGTAAAAAATTCCCTGATGGGTAAAAGAATTATAAGTAAAAGAAATTATTAAGAAATAAATAAATCACTTATAAGTAAAAAATTTAGGGACAATAAAGTTAAAAAGTAAACAATAAACTTATATTTGAAATATCTCATAAATTTTTATTTTTATTTTTTATTTTTTATCTTACATTACTTGTACGGTTTTCTGACACCGTGTTGCACCAATTGCCGTATTAAAACAATATCCCATAATCCACTTGAATACAATTCCCTCTATCCTCCCAAATCAATATTCCTCCGGATTAAATTCACCAACGCCCACCCAACTTTATACTAAGTGTTACCATAACCACCAAATTTAATTTTGTTTCGTCTTGACCATCCAATTTCATGCAACGATTCACTATGGCCACCCAATTTCATATAACATTTCACAATAATCATCCAACTTCTTTTCACACTTTTCACTAATTTTAGAAGAGGTAAAACGGTAACTTTACATTATATATAAAATAATTTTTTTAAAAAAATAAAATAAAAACTCATTTTTTGAAAAAAAAAAAAAGTTACTTAAAAAAAATATATAAAGTTATTTTTAAAAACGTTCCTTAAAAATCTAAAATGAAAACTTATTTTAAAAAATGTTTTTAAAATAAAATAAAAACTTATTTTTAAAAAAAGTCACTTAAAAAAATAAACAAGTATTTTAAAAAAAGTTTTTAAAATAAAAAACTTTTATTTTTGTTTTTACAATATTTTATATATAATGCGAAAGTTACCGTTTTATCCTTTTAAATTTAGTGAAAAGAAGTTGAGTGATCATAGTGAAACATTACATGAAATTAGGTGGCTTTGGTGAAATAAAATCAAATTGAGTGGCTGTGGTGACATCAAGTGTAAAGTTGAATGGCCATGATAAAACAAAATCAAATTAGGTGACCATGTCAACACTAAGTATAAAGTTAGATGGCCATTCGTGAATTTAACCCATATCCCTCTTTTTTCTTTTTCATATTTTTCCCCCGTAAGAGCACAAAATTGCCAACTATTATACATCCTGGTTCATATTGTGCACATGCATGACTCAGTATGATTTTTCGTTTGACGCACAATAACTAGCATAGTTTTCTCGAGGTCACTTCATCAATCTAAATGATAAAACAGGATAAACAATGATGCAACAAAATAAAGCAAAAAACTTACATATTGGCTGATCAACACAATTGCAATATCTTCCCTTGTTGTGAATTCTTTGAAAGCATCTTCAATCTGTTTCACTGTAGTTTCTGAACCAAAACCATGAGTAAGCACATTAGAAACTCCGATTGTAAACAAATGTAAGGGTTCTTTTTTTGACGACTTGTATTACTGACCAGCCAATTGTTAGCATTTCATTCTTCAAAAAAAAAAAAAAAATGTATTGTTTCGCCTGTTTTCATGGTCTAAAATGCAATGCAATCATCACAGAAACCAAATTTTCAATAGTAAAAGTTACACCAGGAAAACCATGAAACTAATCTCTATAACACGGACACTTCAACTAGAATAGTGTGTCCATGTCCAACATGTGTCGATACCAACACTTATCGAACACTCTAACATAAACATTTTTTAATTAAAAATATTATATTTTTAACTTAAAGTTACTGGTAAATAACAAATAGGTACTCATATTTAAAAGATTTCAACAAGAAAAATTAATAACAAGCATAAAACTAAATTTATACTATATAAATGAAGAATTTTAAAGAATTTAATTAACGCATCGACAACATATCACATCAGTACTTTTTTGAAAAATCGCATGTCTGGCTTATCCAACACATGTCATGTCGGACACAAGTGTCCATATCGGTGCATCATAGATCCTAATTAATTTTGCAACAATTGTGTTCTGTAGTCTTTCTGAAACATTTATACAGCTATAAAAAGGTCAAAAAGTAACAAGACTGATATCGTGTACTGGAATATTCCAGAACCATTGGGAATATCATAGACTCCAGAAGCTAACCGAAGCAAGAAATTGCTTCAAAATTTGCGAACAATGTCTAGTGATTCAGACTTCTTATACAATCTCTGTCATTTCACCTGAGCTTAAAATGCCACTGTTGAAGTCAATGATTTGGCACAAAAGAACACAATAAACATGTAGACCAGGAAATTGCTTGTGTGTGGGACAAACTAGAGTTGTATAAAAGCTAGCCAACTGACTCAAACGCCAACTTATTTACCTAGTCAGTCCATGAAGCTAGGAAGATACAACACGTGCAGGGCACCCCTCGTTCTCAAGGCTTTAACCTATTTTTCTTAGGTTTCCGAAATATTTCAGTACTTGAGAAGGCATCTTGAACATATATTTAGCGTTTGTTTAAGAGAGATTTTTCTAGAGGAAAAATGATTTTTTTGGAGAACCTGGTTAGAGAGTATGGAAAAGTTATCTATATATATATATATATAACCTTGAATAAATTTATAGAAAATGGTTTGATTATAAGTAAAAAGAAGATGGAAATAAATAAACAAAAAATTGAATTTTTAGGAATAATTTTAGGAGAGGGAAAGATTCAGTTACAACCACATATAGTACAGACAATTTTACAATTTTCAGACAAAATTGAAGATAGATAAACAGTTAAATAATAGTATAGACTTACTTGTAAATTTAGGAGAAAATTTAGAAAAGAATTATTCAAATAAAAGAATAGAAATTTTATTAGAAAATATAAATAAAAATATAAAGATTTTAGAAACTAATATAGAATATATTAAAAATCAAAATACCGAAATATTAAAATGAAAATCTAATAATATAGGAGAAACAGAATCTAGTTCTAACCTAGAAAAATTGAAAAGCATAGTTAAAGCATTAGAAAAAGAAAAGTCGACGGATAATAGCCAAAATTTAGATAATATAATAAATAAACTAGAAAAACTAGATTTAGGTAAAACTAAAGAACCTAATAGATTTAAGAAAACTAAGTGGATCTATACATAATAGATAAAGGAAAATAAATCGTAACGAGTAGTAGTAAATTAGTAGGTAATCCTTTATTAAGAGCATTAAGTAGAAAAAAGAATTCGAAACAAGACTAGAATCTTTAATAGATATAGAAAAACAAATAGAAATGTTTAGACAGAATAAACTGAAATTAGTAAAAGCTTTAGACATATATAAAAAAAGAAATTTATTTAGTACATCTTTAATATATCAGCATTATGGAGAAAGATATATTTTTTGTACACATGAAGATCAATTTGTATCTCTAGATTTAATAGAAAAATAATCTTATAAAGAAATCGTTAATAAAAATCTTCAACGGACTCAATTAGGATTAATAATAATAGGAGTAAAAGGACTTCATAGAGAAAATTTAGGAGCTAAAGTATTAGTATGTTTATATGATAGCAGATTCACTGATATAGAACAAGGATTATTAGGAAGCATAGAATTAGATATGAATAATAAAGGCGGAATAGTATATTTTATACCAGACTATTTAGTTAGAACAAAGAATTTCTATAAAGATATTAAAATAGAAATAAAAAGCAAAGGATATCAAATGAAAAGAGATGAGAATAATTTATTAGTTTGCACAGGATTCATAGGAAGACTTAGTGAAAATAGTACTACTTATTATAAATTAGAAAATAATCAAATAATTACAATATTAGGACAGAAAGGTATAAAGGCTATCGCAACAAAGAAATTCTCTTCAGAAACATATGTAGGATTAGACTGGAACTTAGGAAATTTTTTACAAAAACCAATATAGTACCAGAAAATAATATTATGTACAAAAATAGTAATGAAACTTTAAGTATTAGATTTGAAAATTATAATTATCAAGCAGAACAGACAGTATAATGAAGAAGAAAATGAAGGAGAATGTGGATATTTTGAAATAGAAGACTACGAAAGTGAAAACGAAAGTAATGCCTTAGATGAAGAAAGTGAAGAAAGCGAGGACGATGAAAAAGAATTTGGAAATATAGATATGGAATATTACAAAAATCTTAGAAAAACTAAAAAAAATAGAAACTAGAATGTTAATAGAAAAAGATCAAGTAGATATAGAAACCAAGATGGAAGAAAATAACAAGAGAGCTAAAAGGGAAACAAATTAAGAATTTGGAAAAAGAAAAGAACCCATGAATACAGAATACGATATAGGAGGTAAATATCTTTTTCCCCTGTAAGAGACTTTGAATGGACTGATAAAACATATAAATGCTTAGGAAAAAGATAGACGGAAGAAGGATGTAGTTTACCGTTAGCAAGCGATAGAGGATTAATCTTAGAGTTAAATAATTGTAAACCACAAAACAGACCCAGTACTATAACCAAATGAAAAAATTTCTGTAATTAGAGCATATAACAGTGTACCTATACAAATGACTGTAGATGAAATGTTGGCTTATTTAGAAACTTATTTAAGAAAGACTGCTTTAGATGTATATGTTACAGCAAAAAGACTAAACAAGATGAAATTAGATTAAGAATGGTTGGAGGAGATAATCCTAGAAATTTTACAAGCTTTATTAGAGAATTAATTATAGGATCTCATCCCA